AATTTTCTCCCTCAGAGGGTTATCAAAATCTAAGTACATTTTAAATCTCAGTTTAAATCTAAATCAATCTTTAAAATTTTCAAACTCAAATTTTTATCAAAGCTTTATAAATTTGAAAAGTTTAGTTCACTCTATAATCAATAGTAATCTCACAAAATCTAAGTACATTTTAAATCTCAGTTTAAATCTAAATCAATCTTCAAAATTTTCAAACTCAAATTTTTATCAATGCTTTATAAATTTGAAAAGTTTAGTTCACGCTATAATCAATAATAATCTCAAGACTTGTCTTGTAACGTAATTAATTGTAGAGGCTTTCCTCTATAGGGTGTATAGAACTCAATAGAAAAAAAACCCTAACGTAATTAAATGTGTCACATGATTTGCTTTAGGTAGGGGAAGAATCTTGTGAACACATATTAACTTTATACTTTAAAAAAAAATTAATTTAAAGCGATAGATGAAAGTTCTTTTTATCATCTGAGATGATTTAACATTTATTATATTGTTTTGATTATGAAAATAAATTTCTAGTTTGCTTTCAAGTTTATAGTAAAACATTGGTCTATCTCTCAAGGTAGTATAATGCTGGCTATGCGGACTTGACTAAAGAAACATAAAGCGAATCATGTGTCACATTTATTTGTCCAAACTTTTAATTGAAATTGATTTCTCTTACGGTGTGAGCTGATAGTCCACTATAGACAGGCTCAATTTTAGATTGTATATACATATCTCTAAATTTTCTCCCTCAGAGGGTTATCAAAATCTAAGTACATTTTAAATCTCAGTTTAAATCTAAATCAATCTTCAAAATTTTCAAACTCAAATTTTTATCAAAGCTTTATAAATTTGAAAAGTTTGGTTCACGCTATAATCAATAGTAATCTCAAGACTTGTCTTGTAACGTAATATATTTGTAGATGCTTTCCTCTATAGGGTGTATAGAACTCAATAGAAAAAAACCCTAACGTAATTAAATATGTCACACGATTCGCTTTAGGTAGGGGAAGAATCTTGTGAACACATATTAGCTTTATACTTTAACAAAATTTTAATTTAAAGCGATAGATGAATGTTCTTTTTATCATCTGAGATGATTTAACATTTATTATATTGTTTTGATTATGAAAATAAATTTCTAGTTTGCTTTCAAGTTTATAGAAAAACATTGGTCTATCTCTCAAGGTAGTATAATGCTGGCTATGCGGACTTGACTAAAGAAACATAAAGCGAATCATGTGTCACATTTATTTGTCCAAACTTTTAATTGAAAGGATAATGGTTCTCTGCCGTACTGTGGATTGGTGAAAGAGAGGAAATGTAAATGCTTCTCTGCCTTGCTATGGGGGCACAAGGAGAGACACTTTGGTAATAGTGCAATACCTGAAGAGTGAGTCTTTAGTGAGTGGATATAGATCGTGTTTGATCGAACCAATATGAATCTTTGTGTCTTTTAATTTTTGAATTTAATTATTGCAAGTTATTAACTGTGGTTGAGATGTTTTTTTTTTAACTTAAAATTTTACTTGCTACAAAATTTAAAATGATTTTCTAAAAATCCAAGAAATATTTTAAATTACTAATTCACCCCCCCCCCCCTCTTGGTTAGCCTTGGGACAATAGCTTAAGTTGAACAACGTATATAGAATCAATAATACCCACTCCAGTTCCACAGACGAACCATCAACAGCTAAATTATCGATATCAGAGTATACCGCAAAATTTGACTTCAAAATCTGCTTGCAAACCTCTGACTCCTTACCTTCAAAAACCTTCCAATAAAATGCCACTCCTAAAATCAAACCTACCACCATAATCCCCACCGGAGTGGGGAGAAGACCAACGACCACTCCTTCTCACCATGCTTATATGTTGAGCTATTATCCCCCGGACAATTTTTCTCACAACTTCATAATTGACTTTATTGGACTATCTTATCTCACATTTATTACGCGATTGATTTCTCTTACGGTGTGAGCTGATAGTCCACTATAGACAGGCTCAATTTTAGATTGTATATACATATCTCTAAATTTTCTCCCTCAGAGGGTTATCAAAATCTAAGTACATTTTAAATCTCAGTTTAAATCTAAATCAATCTTCAAAATTTTCAAACTCAAATTTTTATCAAAGCTTTATAAATTTGAAAAGTTTGGTTCACGCTATAATCAATAGTAATCTCAAGACTTGTCTTGTAACGTAATTAATTGTAGAGGCTTTCCTCTATAGGGTGTATAGAACTCAATAGAAAAAAACCCTAACGTAATTAAATATGTCACACGATTCGCTTTAGGTAGGGGAAGAATCTTGTGAACACATATTAGCTTTATACTTTAACAAAATTTTAATTTAAAGCGATAGATGAATGTTCTTTTTATCATCTGAGATGATTTAACATTTATTATATTGTTTTGATTATGAAAATAAATTTCTAGTTTGCTTTCAAGTTTATAGTAAAACATTGGTCTATCTCTCAAGGTAGTATAATGCTGGCTATGCGGACTTGACTAAAGAAACATAAAGCGAATCATGTGTCACATTTATTTGTCCAAACTTTTAATTGAA